AAGTCAAAATCAGTATATAATGTTTTTCTGATGTCAAGCTAAACGGATGGACAGGCTTAGTTTGTATGAAATTGGGTTATGAAAGATAGAAAATGAATTTTGAAAGAAGGCTCTTGAGTCTACAGCTGTTCATTTCATTTGGATGTGCACACTGGTCTGACGCGCGTCTGTCTGTGTTACCCCAGTGTCCCAGTTCCGCCCTTTGTCTGCAACGCAAGCAGCTTTTACTGAGAGGAACAATGGAACGAGATGTAACTTCAGCTCTCCGGCTTTATGACTTTTCACACGGCCCAATGTGAGCACGCGTGCTTGGGTACGCATGAGTGAGCCAGTTAAGTGATGTCAGGCGTTAGAGTAGTAGGGTGTGGCAAGAGAGCAAAGCTGAGAGCCAGAGAGGGATGGAGGGGAGGGCAGGTTTAAACTCAGTGCCCAGGAGACCATGCAGGGCTGGGGAAAAGAGTGTTGAATTACACTGTGAGAGTGTTGGTTGTAAAGCTTTGGACAGCTGAATGTCTGAACTGAACCAGGATTACAGAGTGGAGAAAGTGAGAAGCTTTACTGTATACTAACAGGTAAAAAAAAAAAAAGCAGGAGGTGAACCAAAGTATTTCGAACTATATCCAGGGTCATGGACTTAATGATGGATAGGGATGCCTTTGGGAGAGGAACAGGCCAGGGTTGAGTCTGAGAGGGAAAAAGAGAAAATAGGGGAAGTTTGATGTCGAAATTCAAGTTGCATCACTGGAGAGGAATTTGCATCGAGCAGGAGACCAGATTGTTAACCGAACTTGAAAAAGCATTTTTTTTCTCCTTCACATTTTCATCTGCTTACGTTTTACTTTGTTCATTTTTTTCATAGTTATTTTTCTTGTGTGTGTGATCTAACAGCTGCAAGCGAGGCACTGTTATATTTACCTCAAAGCATCTCAAGTATTTGCTTTGATATTAGCTTCTCCACGTAAGGGAGTCAGGGTAAGAATACATGGTCATTTGGAAATGAGGAAAAGAAAGAAACTCAGAGCAGAAGCAAAACAGCAAAAGTGAATTGTGAAAAAAAATGCGGATGGGATACAAGAATAGAGCTGGTTTGTTTTGATTCCACTGACACAGCTGCATTTCTAGTCCCGTGCTCAATTAAGTTTGTTAGGAGAGTTTTATGTTCGATGCTAGCAGCCTCTGGCCAGGCGTGTTTTCTCAGATTGTTTGGTTGCAGTTCAAGTTCGACTGAATCCATGAGTGGCACCAGTAATTGAACAGAGAAGGATTTTGACTCGGATTTACTTAAAAGGCTTGACACTTGTCTCAGTGAAAGTGACACTAATCCCTTCTGTCCAAAAAAGAACAAGGGGTCATTTGATAGTAGTGATGGGAGGGGCTGTGGTGCTTGTATTAAGTACATATTAAAGTGCCCCTAAAAAAGTAATAACATACCTCTTACTTTTTTACATATTACACTTTGGCTAAAGTGACAACTAAAGTTTAACAAATCTGACCCACATGCAGACAAATCACTCAGAGAGCACGGAAAAAAGTTTTAACAGGTTTATTGGAGGAGTTACAGGAGAGGATCTGGAACTCAGTGAGCTGGTGATCGGAAGTGAGAAGGGAAGTTCAATGGTCAGTTCAGGTTCTGTGGGAATCTTGGAAGCTCGGATATCTAGCGTGGTTTGGAACTCACGTTTGTTAGTCCTTGAATCCAGACTGTGTGGTGAATCCAGAGTTAGGTGCACACGTTGGAGGGCGGACAGGTTTGACCAGCGTAGGACCCGGATGCGCAGTGGAGCGGACTGTCACTCGGATTTCCGATGGGAACTTGAACGGAACATGTGGAGATTTTCCCTTGCTCAGTGTAACTCTGTTTATCCTTCCAGGGGGGAGAAGGTCCAGGTATCCAGTAACACAGGAAATCTTCCTACCGAGGAGCAAAGACAAAAAACAAGTTAGACTCAGAGAAACAAAGCTAGACTAGACTAGGCTAGAGTACCCAAAACTGGCAAACACTCTGGCGTCGAGGTAGTGACAGTCCACTGCTCAAATACTCCTCCAGATAATGATCCAACGAGATGTGCAGGGAGGGACAGCGAAGACAGGGCACCTCCTGGCGGTGGAAAACAGAGACACACAAACTGGATTCCTAACATAAAATTCTTTATATTTTATTGGAATTTAAAGCAACAGTCCAACAGAAAGAAAAGTCTAACAGAAACTCCAGTAAATACGTTGTTTACTGCGATTCCAGCCTCAGGTCCGGGTTCTAATTTTTATTTGGATTTTGGTCTGCTTTTACTTTGACTTGGCTGTATGCTTCTGGCTTTTCTACCAGGATTGCCTCGTATACCATTGGTCTTCCCATTAACGTTGATCTCTTCTCAAGAAAACCATGATGTTTCCAGCACCATGTGTAGCAGAGGGTATTGTAGGTTGAGGTTGATGTTCACTGTAAAGCCTCTTTAAGATCATAGTTTTTCAATAAACACACAACCAAGCCTACTGTCCTATTATAGTTCACTATGTTTGTTCACATCGTACAGGACAATTGCAGAGAATACGGCCAATGTTATTGTTCAGACCATCATACTTTGATGGCATGATTAAATTGTGTGTCTTACAGCTTTCAACCTTTGTCAGGGGCAGATTTAACCTATTTTACCCAAGACTTGGCTCTGTATAACATTATTGAATGGATTTAAATTTCTCTTTTGGGACCTTTCAGTTTGCCAACCAGAATAATTACGGGTCTATTTAAGGATGAATGGATAGTCTGAAACAGGCTTTATTTTTTAGCCACACAAAGGAATTTTGGACTCATCGTCTATCTATGTGGTGTCCTATAAATAGCTTAATGAAAACTGCAAAAAGACTTACGGAGTGAATAGCTGTGGCCAGATTCTCCCACCTGAGTTGTGGATCTCTGCACCTAATCTAAAGGTACCATTGCATCTCTTTGCTGCTTCTGTTTTTAATGTTTTAATGTTACTCTAAATTGACCATTTCTTGGAAGGCTCACGGTTGTGCCATGCTCTTTTTTTTTTGCAAACCAGATTTAATTAAATACAGGTAATTGTCACATTAATATAGAACTCTTGCTAGATAAAAGTCACTTGATGTTTATGATGCAAAAAGCATAAAACACCATAGAAAATGATCTGAAATAGAAACAGACCGACGTGGGTTTTATAAGACCAGCAAGTCCATCAGTCCAACCGATCCCTGATTAGGCTTCATGCCAGTTCTTAAAGCTTATTTTGCTTTTTCTGTCCCTCAACTTAGATGGTAAAAATGACAAAGTGATGACAAATTTTACAAATAAAAAACATATTAATAATAGATAACAAATCGAGGAAGCAGCAAACCCAAGCGCCTTACGTGATCTCAAGATATGGCTGTTAAATGCACCTATATATTGGCAAACACTTTTATGTATCAACAAATACCAATACAAGAAAATAATTGGTTTATCTCTAATCCTTATTACCACATTTTACTAACTATAAGGCAAACTTAAAAACCTTATTTTTTTCTAAAAAGAAACAGTCCACCTCATAATCTGGAACACATTAAACATGGATCATATCTGGTTACACTTACCGACTTTAGGGCTGAAACAATTGATCGGGTTAATCATGATTCATTGATTATTGAAATAATCGTCAACTAATTTAGTAATCGATCAATCTCACCTGGAGTGTAGAGGCTCTAAATCGTGACCCTAGCTGACAGAGCAACCTACTTTGAGCAGTAATTATACCAAAATTGTAATAATGATTTATAAAAATTTTGCATTTAAAATATAAATCATTTTTGTCTGTCAAGGTGCTCTATCCAGCACTCCTCAAGGGAACAAGTTTAATTCCACATAAAGCCTTAAGGAACATATTGGTATCTGATATATTGGTACACCCAGCAAAAAAATAATCTACAGATTAATCCATTTGCAAAACAGTCGGTAGCTGCAGCGCTACTGACCTCGAAGCAATCCTGTATGGTACACAGCGCTCTGTCAAAATGTTTTTGTATGACTCATAAACTACAAAACCACAGCGCATGCAGCATTACACCTACTACAATGGAGAGAGTGATACAGTAATAAATACTGTGCTTCACCATAATATTCCAGTGTGTGTATAAGGACCCCAAAAGGGCACCTGTCAACAGCCATGCTTATGACGCAAACTTCAAAGTAAAGGCTATAAGTCACGCATTAGAACATGGGAAACAAGGTGCAAGACAATTCAGCATTAATGAATCAATGGTACAGAAGTGGAGAAAGCAAGAAGATGACCTGTCCCTTATATATGTGAAAGTTTAAAAACAGACCGTTCAATGACAGTGCACAATATATAGAAGAATAAATGGTACATTTAATTACACAGAACATTCAAAGAAAAGCTCCCTGCCTTTTTTAGCTTTATTCCTTCTTCAGCACAGCTGATTCCAGTGGATAGATGATTAAGAAGCTTTTGTTGAATTACAATCATCTGAATGATGCAGGACATCAGCCTTTGAAGACCGGAGTCAAATACCTCTGCAATAGTGTCTATGCAGTATCTCAGTGGAGTCCAGGTCAAGAGGAGTAGTACGGTACCTTAAGATGTTAGGTTTGAAGGAGTTAAGCAAATAATTTTGAGTTCATTTTAAATGTGTCGGACAATCTGTGCAGTGTATGGTGTTTCATGAATTTCAAAGCCTCAGATCGCTTTGTTTTAAACCTCTCTAAAACTTTCCCTCTGACATCTCTGCTGTGTTCCTCCATCTTTATTTTCCTCTATGCACTCGAATATTCTATAACAAACTTCTGAAGTCTTTACAAAACAGCTCAATTTCTAGGTATGGAGTTTACTCTGGATGTTTCTGATTGCTATTTGCGTGATAAAAATGCAAAAAAACTAAAAATGTTACTTTTGGAAAAAACTCATTTTGGGTTTATCTTTTGTGATGTCATTAACTACTGAATAAAGAACACACACAATCTCATTTCCTGGTGTTGTGTTTACTTGCAGTCAAAGTCATTGAGGGAGCGCTGGTTGTTAGATGGAGCTCCAGCAGAAGAGGAGACACAGAGGCGTCTGCAGGAGGATGAGATGAAGACCAAGCTTCTGGAGCAGGTCATCCTTAGGTGAGCCTCCATAAAAAAGAAAAACTGTGGGAACACTTTCCTGCTAATATACATGTTACATTTAAACACTACTTGTTTTAAAAGCAAAGTCTCATGGCCTTTTGTCATCCATGACTTTGTTTCTGAGACAGGCTGGAGCAAGAAATCGAAGAATTGGAGACTGGTGTCCCAGCTAATAAAGGTGTGGCCAAAGAAAATGGTGAGTTATGTCTCCATAGCAACACAGCTTTAACAACTAACATAAAGAAAAAGCCATCTAATAATAGCCCCTTCATTTGCTTCACTCATTATTAAAACAGTATATCCTCTCTGCCCCAATCACCTTCTCTTCCTATGCCTCCACTCAATAATACTCTGGCACCCCCTGTAGGTGAGAATGGAGTAGTGCAGACCTCTGGCCAGACCCCGAAAAGAGAGGTGACAGGGGTGGAAGCCAAGCTTCTGGGCCCCAGTCCTGACCAAGCCAGTGAGAACAACCCAGTCACTCTGGTGTTCATGGGCTACAAGACTGTCGAAGACGAGAAGGAGATGCACACGGGCATGGAGGGCGTGGACGGCAACGTGAAGGCTGAGTTCGTAGTGATTGATGATGGCGAGGGGAAGGCGGCGGATGCAGCCACGGAGGAGCAGGCACCGCCTAACGGCAGCATGGCGGAGAAAGAGAAGGCCAGCGGAGAGGAGGGAGAAAAGGAGAAGGAGAAGAAACAGACCTGCAAGTGCTGCACTGTCATGTGAGATATGTGTGCCTGTTTATCGGTGTGTGTGTGTGTGTGTGGGTGTGTGTGACTGAATGCGTATGGGTGAGTACACACCTGCACCCGTGCAGAGCTGTGGGCCATTGCATGAGTCCCTATTTGCAATCGTATGTAGCTTTTGTGTTTGTGTGAAAGTGTGTGTCAGGACTGATTTACAGCTACACAGTCAATATCCCAACAATGAGAGCCGAAACGAGCTCCAGCTCCAAGAACCACAAAGACTCATAAGTACACTTACTCTATATACTTTCTCTGTATTTTGACTTTTGATTTCTATTGATATTTTTCTATTTTTCTGTCTTGACCTTTCTATCGTAGCCTACTTGTGTGTTTATCCTTATTATGAGACTGTGTACCGTATGTTCATTGTTCTTATTGTTTAAAAAAAGAAAATGTATGAGCTCTCTGGATTGTACTGCAGCCAAACTGGAAACATTTCTGGAAAAACAAAATCCAAAACAACAAACTATGAAGGACACAGATACTTAAATATATATATATGTCTCTGTGTAGGCCTACCAACTATTTATCAGTCAATTTCATATTGCAATATTGTCTAAGATATTATTTTGAATAGTATTTTAATATATTGATATGAAATTATGTTTTATACAATGTATTTATTGCTTTGGTTCTATGTGTCACCCCCCCTCCCCAACATCACCTGCATGTTAGGCTAGTAAGTGCCACCAGATTAACACTCTTTAACAAGTGTCTGTGCTTTCTTAGACTCATAAGTGCTCATATCTTTAGTCACACACATTTTTCTGTCGCTTATGGTTAATTATACATGCAGTGTTCAAGTAATGCATCATGCTTAAGAAGAAACATGGCGAAGACGCCCATAGAGTCATGTTACAGGTCACTTTATTTTAATACTGGATATAGCGTGCGGCACATGTACATGGGGATCACTGCTTTTACAACAGATTAGATTATTTGCACCATAACACAGTCTTTCCAAAGGTGTATAGTTGGGGCCACGTGAATTGGAAGCCCTCATAATAATAAATTTGGCTTTTAGTGCATTAGCATTATCTCACCCTGAGATTTCTAAAGCAAGAATCAATGTGGGTAAAAGTATTCAGTGTGGCAAATGATTGTATTTAAAGCAGTTATTTGCCACCAGGACACCAATCTGCTGAAGCATTTCACAAGGTTGCAACAGCAATGAGGGAGAGGGACCCGGAGCCACTCGATCAGGGGTGCCTTGTGCAGCCTATGGGTCATTTGGAACCCTTGAAATGATTTCGTGGGGCACCTCGGATCAATTTGACATTGATACAGATTTACCAAATCTCCACAGAGGTTTGATGCAGATGGACCGTGTTGCCTTTTATTTTCTAGATTGATCAAGTTGTTCGGGTTTCGTTTTAATGTTGCAATTAATCAGACTACAAACAAGCAACGATTTTACTCAGAAGCAAACTTTGGTGTACCCTCTCATTTGAAATAGAGGCCCCTGCTGAGAATACATTAAAATTTGGAGTATTTTTAGTGTCTTTTTATTTTACTCAGGCAAATATGTGGATCCCTTTGATGGGTCACATCTGCTATGATTTACATATTTATTTTCTACCTGACTCCTTTAAAGCTCCAATAATTTTTTTTTTTTTTTTAGGCGGTTAAAAAAAAAAACACTCACATTTAAAGTAGGTTTACAAGTTTATATTTGTAGCCTAAATAGACTCTAAAGTTCAATAATTTGCCTTCATGATATAAAAAAAAAAGATAGAACAGCACTGCTCTAGATCATCCAGGGTCCTGCGTCTCTACATTTACCTCATCTGTTTTCCACAGACAGTGTGATGTCTAAATGAGCCATTTTTGTGTTTTTTTTTTTTTTTTTTTTTTTTTGTCTTTATCATTTTAAAAGATCATTGATGACCATTTTTTATTTGCCTAGTGGAGTGCAGCAAATTTGTACTGAAACCATTTTGGAATTTTTTGCTGCAAGAAGGTTCCCATGGTTTCCTGAGGACATTCCCCTCAGCATTATTGATTCTCCACCATACTTGACAGTGGGCATGACGTGTGTTTCCACACATTTTCTAAACCAAACCCCCCCGGAGCCTTTGTTGCTAAGAATTGGTTTCTAATCTCAGTAGAATTCAGCTGATCCATGTCTACATTTGTGATCTTGGGACAGAAACTTTTTTTTTTCCAGCATAGAAGCAGTTGTTTTTAGAAACACTTGGTGGCCCTGATATATTTTCCTATCTTTTCCTTACCCCCATGCTCATTGTGTCTGGTGGCAAGACACATATAGGTCCTCATCCAGCCAAGTAAACGGGTCTGTGTGTCACACCACATTTATACTCTTGGGAAACAGAAAATGACTAACTAGATGTTTCCTAGGAGCTAAAACCTAAACAGGTAAAATATGATTAAAAGATACTTTAATTATATTTGTTCTAAATGAATTGTAAATGGGTACCATTAACTCTTTTGTTATTAACTTTGCTTTAAACCACAATTTCTTGAATTATATTCCAGCATTATGTGAGATTATGCCACTGCAATAAAAGATAGATTTATTTGCTGGGTGTACCAATAAATGTGTCCTGCACTGTAGGTACTGTAACTCTGTTTTCTTGTCAATGTAGATTTAAATAAGGTAGCACTGCATGAAGCCTTGCAGCTTTGTTAATATCACCATTTGTTAGGTTTTGGTTATACGCTGTCATTGTTCACATGAATGTAAATCCAGGGCTTAAATGGGGATTTTGTTCACCTTGATGAGACAAGTAAAAGCTATTTAACCCTCGTTACAGAAAAAAAGGAAAAAATCTTTTTGGTATTGTATGAACCAAATTAATCTTAAATATACTGTAAGTTCCCTGTGTGTTTTCCAGGTATTGATACTTTTTTTCTCCTATTTTAATCCCTGACTTCTTTTGAAAATTCTGCAATCTCACCTAAAAAAATAAATCCTAACCTTTTCTTAGCTCAAATAATGATAATCTTTGATCTGCCTTAAAACTCAGTTTAGTGAATGAGGTTGTCTTTTACTTGTATAGATAGTTCTTGCTCTTGAATAAAAGTCAGCCTGGCAGTTTCTAGCTGTGGATCTTAAAGCCCAAAAGGCCTGCTCCTTGTCCTGACCCTCGTTTGTTTAGCTGACACACGACATTATGGATGGTCTGAGTCAGTGATGCTACACAAACAGTCTTCTTCTCACCCACATCTTTTATACCCCAGCAGTATTTTTCTTTCATCTTCTCTGTAAAACAGTAACTGCAATACTCTATATGCTTGGATACCTGCTACTCCAGAAAAGGAAAAAAAAAAACAACCTCTGAAGCTGGTGCTATACTGCAAACTCATCAACATCCAACTTTTGTTCAACCTGTGTCCTCTTTCTTACTCAAAAAGCTAAGTGGGCAGATTCAACTGCCCTCCTGAGAATCTTCTGCTACCTTCAGTGCCAGATGCAAGTCCTGCCTGCATTTTTCCACCAGTGATCCCTTCTTACATTCCAAAGGGAGGTCAGCAGGTCTGGACAGTTACAGTCTATGCGTTCCAAATGTAAACTTCCACTGCAATTGTACAACAGCATTTCATATATGATTATATACTTTGTTTGGTTTTTTGTTTTTTAGGCCTCTTTGCAAGGCCTGTTTATTGCATTTGATGTTTGTATTCAAAAAAAAAAAAAAAACATAAAGAAAGCTACATCTTTGTATTGTTGGTGCCTTGTCGGGCTTGTTTGGCTGGACTTTTTTAGACAGGTTTTTCTTGCTCTGCTTCATGTGACCAACAACCCATGTGAAACACTGCCTTCTACTCTGCAGGAGAATTCCCCAAGATTACAGTTCCTTGCATAAGTATTGAGATTTTCCACATTTGTCATGTTACAACAACAAAATTCAAGGTATTCTATATGATATATAGAATACTATGGTTACGGACAAAGTAGTGCATAACTGAGTTCAAAAGAAAGATTTTTCTAAATCTAGCTTCTAGTACAAATACAACTACATGCTTTTTTTTTTTTTTTTTTCAAAAATATAGCCTGGAATCTTTGCCTATTTTCAAAATAGCTCAAGCTCAGTCAGATTTGATCTAGAACATCTGGAATCATATTTATTTAGGATGTAACACCCTTTTTAAGAATGTATTGAGGTCTGAACTTTAAATTGTTCTTTCTAACACATGAATGTGCTTCAATTTAAATCAGTGGATTTTCCTTAAACCCATTCTATTTATATGTAGGACAAAAAAGTTCTGGTTATTTAAGTAAAATATTCTCCAAGTCTGTTCTGTATCCTACATGACTTTAAGCAGGACTTCTTACTTTTTTCTTTTTCATCCCTTATATGTGGGATGAACAACTAATGGTTTTATGATCACTAATGGGCCTCTTGGCTGCATCTGATTATTGATTTTTCTGCCCTCTCATTGTAGGTGGATGGCTATTTCTTGGTAGGTTTGAATGAACTCTTTATGATACAGCTCTGCTCCTTAATCCTAATATTTTCGTTTGATTAAAAACATTCTCTAGTAAACCTCTGAGGCCTTTACAGGACAACTGCATCCAAAATGAGATTACATTGCATGAAAACTGGCAGGAAGTTAATTGCACTAGATTGTATTCAGGGGGATCATTGTAAATGTCGCTGAATAAATATGCAAACCAAATATTTGATATACAAAATATGAATTCATCCAAACTGGAATTCAAAGTGTTGTATACGTTACCCATATAAAATTCAATGAACTGTGTGGTTATAACATGACAAAAGGAAAACATTGACATGAGTATGAATACTTTGCAAGAGACTGTAGCCACAAGAATCCAAAATTTACTTTTTGATTATTTGAAATACCTGCGTCTTCGTTGGCAGGTAATATGCAGACTAGTGTTGGTGTCTTCAAAAACTTTATACTCATTTATTTATTTATTTTAACCATTCAGTTAATTTAGTTTGGTATTTTTTTTTCCTGCATCTTCCAAAGTTAAATATTTTGAGTGGATTCCAACTTTATAGACAAGACTAACTGGAATGTGTGGATAAAGTGTATTCACATGTACATATATGTCTATATGCATACATAGAAATAAATGTACATTTGGTGGGCTGAAGGTTTGCTTATTTGTGGTTATCTGGCATAGCACAGCCACAAGAAAATATATAGAGAAAAAAAACAAATTTGTGCTAAACAAATGCCTGTTCATCTATTATGTGGTCATATTGATGTCCTGTCTTGAATAAAACTACTGTTTCTTAACATCAAGTTGGATACATCTGAGTTTAATTAAGCTGGTGTAGATCACTAAGATCATTTAGATTTTTATGTAATAAAAATAGAAGTTAGACAATAAATTCTCATGAAAAAAAATTCAAACACTGTAATCAATAATTTAAATACACTGGATTGACCTGATTATTTAAATATCTCCTTAGCTTTTACTAGAATATTAGAAGTAAACTGCTGTTTCCATGTATTTCATAAACCGCAGTACCCAAATCAGCCCACAAGAGGGCATGCATCCACTATGAGCAAATCAGAGTGCATTTTAGTGAAATATGCTGTAACCTGTAGATGGAGGGTTAATGAGAGGGATGCATTAAACAGGATATTTATCAGACAGAGGGCAGGTATACAATATCACAGAAAATAAATGTAATTATATGTCTGTTATGCAGAAGTGCTCCACATCTAATAAATGGCTATTAAAAAGACTCTTGAGGCTAACAGGAGGATAATTTCTTTAGCTCTGAGGCACCTTCCCTGTGACGTGTTGGAGGTTAATGATGCACCAATCAAAGAAAAATGTAAGTTAACAATGCCCTTGATACAACACCAATAATGCATTAATGAAAAGTCAATGACGGGACATATGGAATATAAATACTAAAAGAAAATAGGCGGAAGATGTTGAAAGGTTAGAATATATTCAGAAGGGGAACGCAAACAGAATAGAACACACATTGCAATTAGCTTCACAAGGGGTAGCAAAATCTAATTGCTGCCCTGGTATCAGTTACAGTGAATTACCTTTCCTCTGTAACTGGTTTGTTGAAGCAGGAACAGAAACATAATGCAATGAAACAATCAGAGTCATTAAATCAGCATGCAGACCACAGCGGTGCAACAGTGATACAAGGACCAGCTGTTGAATGTAGCAACAAACTCCCAGCTTACTTGCTAGATCACCAGAAAGTACTAATTGTCACAAGGTCTGCAGCCACATCTAGATATCTGCTACTTCCTGAGCAAAATATGATATTACAGACCATTCTTAAAATGCTGCTGTTGCTGTAAATAGCTGTAACTGTGACAGTCACAAAAAAAAAGCACACACATACATTTTGAGTGCAGTGTATAAGGGCTTGGAAACCCAATTCCTGCCCTCTGCGGAAAGCATTGTCATGGATATCTGGATAGATAAGCAAAAACAAAACAAAGAATGAGTGATTCAGGTGTGGACTCCTTTCTAGTGTCCTCAATAACTACTTATATCAAAAATAGCTACTCCAGCATTACTGTATAAAAAAAAGTGGGGAATTCTCTGGCATTTAGACCTAATTGGCTCCCAAAATAGGATTAAAAAACATGTATTTTGTATCCTGAGCAACATTGATCTGGGATCCCTGTAAAGTGTTGATTATTGAAAGGCTGTATGATTTATATTCTTGATTAAAAATTAAGAAGAATTTTGTTTTCTCCAAGCTTAAAACGTGTTTCAAATCCAAGACTGTAAAGTAAGGACTGACAGAAACAATAAGCCAGGCTGGGTTTGGATAGTAGACTATAATTACAGTGTCATAAACATAAAAATAAAAATGTACAATGATGAAGCTACCAGCAACTTTATCATTATTCTCATTTTGAAATACGGATATTCTTTTAAAGCCTAACCTTACTTTTACTTTCTCTATAACTTTATCCAGGAACTCCTTAGGTCTTCATACTGTTCCAAAAAAGTTTTAAAAAGACAAACATCTGGACTTTGTTTTCCCAGTTTGAAGACGTTTCGCTTCCCCTTACAGGAAGCTTTCTCAGATCAAAATGTCTGGATTAGCGTTGAGTTCCACGCTTATAGCGTAGCCTAACAAAGCCTTGTTATGACCTAGAAAACACGCAAATTGAACTGAATAAACAGGTCCACCCCTTAGTAATGGGGAGTGGTTGAGGTCTCGTTGGCTTGAAAAACCTGAAACTGGCCCATGCCTCTGAAAAGGGAGTTGATAGCATCATTGTTGGTCTGACTGACCATGTTGGGGTCCCCTGTATGTGGGTGGGGGTGGCGATGATTGTGGGAAGGAATCAGCTCTATTGCTGCGTTGAGCTGGAACCTGAGTCCACCCCCTCTGTTTAAGGTTGGTTTTTCTCTCTTAATATAATGGCTTCCCTCACACCCCTTTCAAACTACCTTTCTTCTTTGTCCAAAATGTGAACATTCTGGTCTTCAAACGAGTGTCCTTTGTCCCTAAGGTGAATGTGGCCCGTCTGTGTTGAGCCATGCGTCTGTGGAGAGGTCGTTTGGTTTCTTCAATATAAAGATCAGAGAATTCCTCAATGCGCTGAACTGCAGACACCACTCTGCTCCTACTTGGTCTGGAGGTTTTGTCTTTAGGATGCATTAGTCTCTGTCAAAGGGTCTTGTTTTTTTTTTTTTTTTTTTTTTTTTTGGTTTTTTTTTTTTTTTTTTTTACTTTTTAAATTAGTTTGGATGACTGGCTTCACCAGCATCTTCATAATGCTGGTGGAGCCCTCTTAGGTTGTCTAAGAGCAGATCTATATACACTCCAAATACAGTCTGGTGATCTTGATGTACTGATTACTTGATTTCTAAAGGAAACTGGCTACAATGGAATTTTTTTTTTTTTTTTGTTGAGTTTCAGACTTAAAGCACCTGGATAAAATGAAAGT